TAATATAATGTAAGTAATGCTTCATTCATTACAAAAATTGTATGCTATTAAATGAAGAGTCATTTCTAAGCTTACATTTATGACAAATAATTTTTGCTTTGGTTAATAATTAAAGTATAATAGTGTCAACTACTTAAAATATAAAAATATTAACTTTATAGAGTGTAACGAGACAATTTTATTGGCACCATTGTAAAAATGAGTTCACTTTTCACTAGTGAAATTATTTAAGCAAAATGAAATGTAGGAAGGTAATTTTGGAAAACGGCAATTTTTTGAGCAAAATATTTTTTTTAATGCTTGACTAAAATCTTTGCGTTAATACTTCTTTTATGGGCATTAAACGCAGTAGTTTGCTTACTTACTTCTAATACCTCTTCTTATATCCTTCACTGTTACTTCCATACTGAAAGAAATCTTTGTGAAAATGAAACTGCCTCTGAAAACTTTTTAAAGGTTATCTTTCATTTCATTTTACATTATATATTCTGTGTTATGAAAATGCAAAATTCGAAATATTAATAATATCTACTGTACTTGCTTATAAAACTTTACATAATTAAATGTATTTTGTAGTTAGTAGAGCACAAGTCGTTATAGACAACAGTTTAAATGAAATAAATGTTCTACTTAAGAAACACAAAATTAGTTACTTCTTTTGCAATTAAAAATGCTCTTACTTTACAGTTCATTTTGTTACTTATCACGATTGCCTTGAATGATTTGCCTAAAAAAGTAATTATATCGTTTTTCTTTGCATGCTGATCATTTTATTTTTGTAGCATTAGAACAACTTAATGATAATTTGATTAAAATTTTATTCTGATTCTCATAGTTAGAAAAATTAATCAACTGAGAATTGTTATCAACTTGCGCTGCTAATATTTTATTAATATAATTTAGATAAATAGTTAATTTTATTTGTTGTTTTGAAATATTCAAAATATTTTATTTTTAAATGCGTTAATTTACGTGAAATATTGAGAAGAAATAGATTTGGAGGAAACGCTATGCAATGAAAAAAAATCTGCGCTTTAAAGAAAAAAAAATACCTGGGAAAAACAAAAGCAAATTTCGTTACTAACTTGTTAAATTTTGGCTTTTGTTTGTGTAAGTAGAAATATGCTTTGAAAAATATTCGCATAGAAAGCAAACTGTTGCTAGTGATTCAAGCTATTCATACAATTTCTCACTTGTGTCCATCAAAATACATTACTTCATAAATTGCAAGCATTTCAACGTTTGACGTCATTCTAAACTACCATATGTATAAGCTAAAGAAAAAAGTTGAAAATATTGGACTTAATTTGATAAATTTGCCAACTTACACAACTATAAGTAATAAAAATAAAAAATGTATGAACTAAATTCAGAGTTATGCATTGAATTTTATATTTCACACATGCAGTCATTTATTTATTTTTTCGTTGCTTGCTAAATTGTGAATTTGAAGTAAAAATTTTGCTCTAAACATCATAGACATCCCAAGTCATGCTTTTCCTATTGTCATATTAATTTTTCTATAAAACTCACTCATCCTAATGCTACTAACTATTACTATTATTATTTTTACATTATATAAATTTATTTATTGTTCATAAAAAAGTCTGATCAGTTTTAGAAATTTGCACTTCATTGAAATTCAAATACTATGCGTGAAACAGAAGACAATTAATTACAGATGCAATTTATTTAGCATACAATAACTTCAAATAATAATGAAATAAATGATAATAACAATAATTCTAAACTCAATGACTAAACACAGAATTGAATAACAATAATTTTGAAGTCAATGACTAAACACAGCATTGTAAATGAATTTAATCTTAATCAAATATATACATATTTGATTCTGCAGCTCTATTTGTTTCTTGCCTATTTCTACACTTATTAATAAGCAAGTAAAATTTTAAAACAAAGAAGTAGATTAGTAAATTACTTGTTTATTGCCTTTGTTTATGTCATTTTATTACCAGCAATTTATTTTTTATGCTTGTTGTGGAAAGCCAAAAAGGAAAAGACGATAATTATAAGGCGCGAAAAAAAAATAGTACAAGTTAATTAACTTCAAAAAGAAATATATAAAAGAAAATGAAAATTCAATCGTTTTTAAAGCATTTTTTTCCAAAATTTTCAATTCAAAAACTTTTTTGATAACATAATGTGAGTATTATTAAACTGTTTAAGAGAATAATTAATTACACTGAATAAAAAAAGAATTACCATAGCGCAAATAATAATGAACCACTTGTGCTTTGCTAATTTTTGCTTCAATTTATGATTACAACAAATTACTAATATATTTGGCAATTTTTTTTTCTTTGATGTAGATATTAAAAAGATGAACAAATTACTAGTGTTAGTGAGGTATATAAAGAATTATTTGAATGCATTTTATTATGAAGGATAAAGTTTTCACAAGACGTGAGAGCAAAAAGTTTAAAAAAACAAAACTAAAATAAAAGTAAATTCTTGCAGTGATTTATCAACTCTTAACTTAATTCGATGATTTCGCGTTTGCAGTGATTATACTTCGTAATGAACAGCTGTTCTCAAGCATTAAAATAATGCTTTAAAACTTCTTGGCATTTTTCTTTCAAGTTATTCTTTTGAAATGATAAACGTCAACTTAAGATAAAAAATTTTTTATTTAAAATGAAACTGTTTTCACAATAATTGGAAGTTATGTATTTGTGGGTGACTTGGTACAAATTAAATCTGTTTTTTTATCCAATCATTTTTATTGATGGATCGCATTTTTTAAATTGAATATTTGAAACTACCATATCAAAAAATCTTATATTTCCAAGTTTTTTGATAAATGTGAACTTTCAAAATTTAATTCGACTTAAAATCGTCAAAACATTTAAATAATTGAGTAAATATAAGTTTGTAAAAATTTAAAGTAAAATTATAAATAAATATAAAATATTGCTTACAAGCCCATCATAGTGGCTAACATCATACCGTCCAATATTTGGCTGTTTTAAAATGTTATTAGTTTTATTTCAAACTTACAAAATTTTTCGTCCAGTGAAAAAATTATGTTTGACAGATACAAAAAAAAGTGGATATAATATGTTTCTAAACTTATTTTTACTTCCTTTATTGGTGTTGAATTTTAACCCACTCATATAACATTTATAATTCTTGGAAGCTCAATTTCTTAGCACATCTTAAAACAAATGACTAATGTTAATAAATAAGCAATGCCAGACTTTCACAGAAGAAAAATATTGTTTGGCTATTTAATACTGAATACAGCAATTTCTATCAAATGAATGCGAAAACAAAACTTATCTTATAATTTAACTTGTAATTTTAGATGGAAACGAGAATCTTTGACCAAATATTGTAATTTATCGTTTGACTTCGCTGCATCTTTAGATTTTATTAGTAATGAGTTCAAATTACAAGTAATAAGCAATGAAACGAATCTCATGAGGTTACAAAATTGACAGAAAAAAATAAAACGAGTGAATGTGTTTTAAAGTAATTTGACTAATGATACATTTTATTCTGAAAAAATACTATTATTCATACTGTTAAGAAGCTATAAATTTTAAAAATTTAAGGTGCAGAACGAGGCGAAAAAAATTTATCGTTCGAGCTGCAAAAAGTTTTCGTGAAAAATAATAATTCCATGTTCAAGCCGATTTTTGCAAGTATTAAATAATTAATGCCAGTAAGTAATGAAATATTTTTATAAAATTAATGAAGAGATAAGAAAGTGCCTAATTTTAGCTTTGTTGATCATTAAGTTCACTTTTATTAAGGTTAAATGTCATTTTTAAAACTGAGGCATGATTAGGTAATTTTTCACGATCTGTTTATCTCCTCTACACTGTTTTATAAAAAAATACTACTGACAATTAAATGATTCGCTTTGCAAGAATAAGTTATTTGTCAATTATAAGTAAATATAAGAGTTGACAACGATATTCAACTTCAATTCTTCGTCTCATAAATGACATCAAAGATTGTAGACTATTCAAAAGGTATAAATTTCAATGATTTTTGCATGAAATTTGTTTGTGCTTTGGTTCCGTCTAAATAAAAATAACTTATTTTACGGAGCATTCATTTATTACAATGACTTTGCGAATAAAACTGAGAAAAAAAAAATAACAGACAAGTTTATGCAAGTATACAATCGTAATTTCTTGGCAATGAAATTTTTAAGAGTAACAAATATAATACGTAAATGTTGTAACATTAATTAAGAAGTGGTTTTATGAGCTGCATGATCTTCTTCGTATGTCAGAATCAGTTTATAATTTAATTTTTGGAAGGTTTTCAGAAACAACAAGAAATTTTGGAGGCAAGATCAATAACGTTTGCAGCGGAACCTCTCAGTGATTTAAGAAGCATATTAGAGCCACCAGCATTTGCTGTAAGATAAATAAATACTTTGCTTGCATCGATGAACTCCTTCACATACATATTTCTTTGCTAATAGTAGTGCTAGCAATTTCTTTCTTTTAATTTTTTTTAGATTCAAGAATAAACGATACACTAATAACTCAAAATTTGCAAAAGTTTTAATTTGAGAAGGTTTTTTTTTCTCTTTTGTCGGATTCTAATTCGATCTATTAGAGAAAAAAATTGCTTGAAAATTAAGAAACAGCTGCGTGTTTATTGAAACAAGAAAAGATCATTAAAAACAGCATCTTGTGCAAAGACAGATATGAAGTAACACATCAGAAATCTGTTCTACGCAACAAACGAAGAAAGTAAAAACGTGGAAATGGAAGCAATAAGTGCAGTCATCCAAAAGAGCAAAACAATGCAATGTCAAATAACAAAAACAACACCTGATCCTTTTTTTTTACTTTTTATCATTAACAATATACAGTTCTGTTTGCTTTTTTTTTTGACAGTAAGCGATAACTTTCGAAGTTGAGAAAAATAGAAGCTTAATCTGACGGCAAAAATTGAAAACAGTATTATCTATAATATCACTATAAAATGATTAAAAAAGAGACTTGTTAGCATTTTTATCCCTCGTATTTGCGTAATAAACCTCGTACTTTCGATAAATTGCAACTATTTTTTAGTGATAAAAACCATAATTTGTTTAATGCCTGCCGACTAATCTTATTATCAACACCTACGTAATAATTGTTGTTAACAATGTAGGGTCGTAGATTAATTCGCTCTGCTTCAGACAAATGAAACCATTTTCCATCGGCTACCTCATTCCAACTAAATTGACGACACACTAATCCAAAAAACTGCTTGCGACATAATTGATCAAGAATATCCTGAATTTTATCAGATTTCAGAGATCACTTAGTCACGCTTTTGCTCAATCTTTTGTCAAAACCAAGCTTGCAATTTTCATAATCTATTCTATGGTAAATAATTTGCCTAATAATTTTTACTCATAAAATGAACAAATCAAACTTGATGATACTTTGTTTTGGTCACTGCGTAAAAGCACATTTTTATTGCAGTTATTACTTTGTTGTCCGTCAAAAATTCACCCAGAATATACACTTGCATTATTTCAAATTGAAACAGCTTTACACTTTCACTGCTTAATAATGACACTTCAGATCATTATGTCAAGTTCTAAATCTAGAATGTATTGAATACTTGTCAATCTCATGCCTAAGGATGTATCAATTTCAAGAAACTAGAGGACAGTTTATCCACAACTGGACAATTTATCCATTTATCCATAACGGCCTGACAATTTTTCTTCGAACTCGAGATACATAAGTGCAATAAAAATGCGCTTTTACACATATGTAAGCATAATTTGAAGCATTTATGCTGAATAAATATTACTTGATCATATATTTCTGGATTGTTTAAAAGTTTTTTATTCAATTCGCGCATGAGCATCACAGAAGCATTAGTAGGATAAACAATCATTGGATCGAATGAATATATCAATCCGTGATCAGGATTGCCTTAATTTCAACACAAAAAAATATTCGTATTCAGTCAAGGGCTAACTGAAAGTTTCAAAAAATTTCTTTTTTTTTCTCATTCATGAAGAAAGGATAGAAAACTATGGAAATTAAAATGACACGAAATCTTCCATATTTCATCAGTGTAAATTCGAATTTTTGAATAATTAAGAGCTCATCTAAATATTGATTTCTATGTGTAGGTTTAAATTGCAGGTATTAATAAAAATTTTACCTCATATGAACTATTAATCGAAAATTTTTTGAGGAAAGTTAAAACCTTTTACTGGCACCACAATGTCAGCATCATCTAGAAGTGTTTGGTTCAAAAAAAATTTCATTGGATCACGCAACCAAACTGCATCAGTTTCAAATAAGATGAAAGGCAATTCGAGCTGGAATTTGCTTGTTTGCAAATACAAAAAATAAAGGAAAGTATTTGTAGGAAGAAAGTCAAAGAAGTCGAACCTGTACAAGAGTGAGCAAAAATTGTGAGCGAAGAGTGAGCAAGTTGATGTACTTCTGTCGTCCCCAATCAAGTGGGCTGTTGTAATCATTGGATACTTGCATGAACATGCATGTTACTTCTTTCCATTTCATTTTGATTATTTTGCAAACTTTTGCATCTAAACTGACGATAAGTGTTTTGCGATGAAATGATGTCCGAAATGAGGCAACGTTGCATAGCCAATTTAAGGTCAGATTCAAATAAGCACCATTGATAAGAGTGAATAAAAGAAAGTCATCTGATTTCGAATGGATTATTCTCGCCTCACGTTTAAAGTTCTAGAAATCGTGCAAAATTTATCAGATTTTTAAGTATTATTTGATGGTTCTTCAATTTATAAAAAAATTAGCATGTGATATCAAGTTAAAAAAACAGCAACGCAACAACGCATGCAAAGCGAGTTTATTACCCTTTTCATTCTCTCTTTTTTTCACTTTTCAAAAATTAGTCAGACCAAATAGAGATATAAGTAAATGTAATGAATGCTAGAAGGTAATAATCTATCAAATTATAGAAATTCTTGACTAAATAGTTAAAGAAAGCAATGATGATTTTGAGAAAAAAGTCTGAAGGGTAAAATTGAAATACCTCAAGGAATTCAGTGCTGATTGATGGCAGTTTGTGTTTAGTTGGTTTAATTGTACGCAATACATAATCTTCTCGTGATGATTTCAAACCTTTCTCATTAAATGATCTGCAATTTTTATTAAACAAGGCATACTTTCATGTGATAATTTGAAAAGTTTACGTATAGAATAACTGCAAATGATTTATAAAATGAATGGAACACCCAATATAACAAAAAGTTCATATATACTTTTTGAAATCCTTACATTCTAAAAACAATTTTATTAACAAAATCATCTAAGTAATAAGCCAAGGTAAAAGCATACACAATGTTATCATTGATTCGATCAACAGCTTCTTTGACTAATAAAGGACCATCAAGGTTCGCTTCACTTACAGGTCGTTGTTCATCGATAATCTGCCTGTAGTCTACTATGGTAACGACAAGACGTGCCAGAAAATATCCCGCAACCACCAAAGCACCTCGTTGCGCCCATTTTGCCATTATTTGGTATCAGAGCATTTTCATTTGTCTAACTAACATTATAACATATCACAAATAATAATTTTATAAACATTAACAATCGTTTTTAAATTTAGACTTATATATTTGTTACTATTATTGTTACAGATAACTTCGTTACTATTTTTTCCTCTCTTATATATGTTACTATTGTTGCTCTAAGACTAATACAAAATATAAGACCTGAAAGATAGAACAATAGAGTGATATTTTAATTCCATCTTTGCAATGAATAATAAATAATTTCTTTATTTAAAAAATTTTCCACAAGCACAATTTTGAATAGCAGACTGCAAATATAAGGGCAAGGTTTATCAATGATTTTAATGTTTGATATTTTATGAATGATTAAAAATAATCTTATTTGGATCAGTTTTACACTCAAAAATGTCCCATTAAAACAAAGTAACAATTTTTTGAATTAAAAGAATAGTAAAAGATCTGATTTTTACTGCAGATTTAATTTTCGAGTTAAAATTTGAACACTTAGTAATTGTCACAATATATTTATTAATTTTCCTTGAGTTTTGGCAAAATAACAAATTAAAATGCTTATTTTCTTTCTACATTTTTTTAAAATTTCAGTATCGCTTCTTATATATGACAAGTGATTATTATGCAAATAAAGTAATAGCTTAACAGAATAAATACTAATTTACAAATAAAGTCTCACTAGCTGATTTTGTTCATACAAAGTAAAAAAATCATTAAAGCAAATTCAAAGGAGTTTTAGGGCCATATTATATTCTTGTAACTTGAAGCAAAAGTCAAAATAGATTAGATATAGCTTAATATACTTGCGTATCTAGGACTATAAACCTTTCAATTCGAAAAATTTTTGTAAGAAACACTCATTCTTCGCACTGGACAATTGAAGTGAAAAGATGAATCCAAATAAATTGTGTTAATGCATTTCAAATTAGGTCATTATGTCAAAATACGATTTGTTTCAAAGTCTGACCTGTGGAAAAAGAATTAACTATGAAATTTGATTAAAAAAATTTGTTATAACATACATTACTCACTTTAAAGTTTGCAAAGTTTTCTACAGACGCCAAAAAATGAATGTAGTATTGCGTTTTAGAAAGCAACAACATGGTGGAAACTTGTTTTTAAATATGAAATTTAAATTAATAGGTGTAAGAAAATCAAAATGATAAATTTATTCTATCTCGATGAAGACAGTAAATTTTGCATCACCACTTTAAAATATTAATGGATTTTACTTTTGTTGCTGCAAAAGTTTGAAGCTGCTATTTTCATAAAGTAATAGATTTTGATATGGTTTTCTGAAATATATATATATATATATATATTTGAAATATATATATATATATAT